TCTCAATGCCCTGATTTGGTTTGGTCCCACCAGTACCCACCAGTACTACTCGATTTTTGAGTTGTGAACTTTTTTCAAATTTTTTGAAATGTTTTCGTTACCCGAGAACTCGACTTAATTTTGGCAATCCATCATTTACATCTGTAGACTGTAGTGCATTTTCTTTGTTCTTGTTGTTTTTCTTTGCTCGGCTGTCTTTGTTTCTGTTCCACTGGTACTACTAAAAACTTTTAGTTTTGAATTGTGTTCATAAATTTGGGAATTCCACTTATTTTTGGTAACCCTACTAATCTATCATAACATTTCCATTACCCTTACTTTGGTTTGGTCCCAGCAGTACCCTTTGGTCCAGAGCCGTCAGTCGGGTTTGGTAACTTTGGTCCCACTAGTGTGGGGGACAGTTTTTATCATCCGGAAGCATTGTGGACAGCTGTTTGGCACTTTTGGAACACTGGTCCTTGTTTTTCATCTGCCGACCCTACTATCATGGTGATTTAATCAGCGGAGGAGTTCACATATTATTGTGAAGAAAGGGACAAGAGTTCGAAATTAGTAAAATGGAAAAAAAGGAACTGGAAGGAAGCGTGAGTGTGTGAATTATTGTATTTCTATGACTCGGCTGGGGGAAAAGGAACGGGGCTGACACTCCTCCGAACGGATATGGAGCCAGGACCATAAGGCCCTGTTTTTATTGAATAAAAAGAATTGAGATGAAAATTAGCACCATTTGTTAACAAACAAATAGCTTTGCTGTTACCGTTTGCAGGGATTTACGATCATCTCTCTCCTCGCTGGGTCGCTGGATCATGCGGATGCCTTCTTTAAGCGAATGATTGGGGACGTTTCTAACCTTCTGATGCGCACTGATGTGCCCATTTTGATTAAATCCCTAGGGCTAAGGTATGTTTACTGCTGTTTGGTTCTCTCTCTCTCTCTCTCTCTCTCTCTCTCTCTCTCTCTCTCTCTCTCTCTCTCTCTCTTTCTCTGTGTGTGTGTGTGTGTGTGTTAGCTTGTGTGTGTGTGTGTGTGTGTGTGTGTGTGTGTGTGTGTGTGTGTGTGTTCGCTATAGACAACTCTACAAAAAAAAGCATTGTGCCAGGTTGATGCTTTTCTTATAGAATGAATTAATGAATGTAGCACACAAGTGGTGCCGGCCTTGAGGATTGTCCCGAGTTCAAAACCAGGGCTGGTCCCCAGTTGGACCGGGGGCCGCTCCCTCAACCGGGAGCCTGCCAGTCGACCGGCCCAAGCAAACCCAGTCCATCACGCTGGTGGGTGGGGTACCGGGGAGTAAAGGGCACCCCTGCGATTGCCCAGCCCACAGAAGGCTGCTGCCTCCTTACCAAAAAACAAATTGGGGCCTTTTGGACCCCGGTTCTTGAAAAGAATGCGGGAAGATCTCTCCGCCTGAAACAGTTTTCACCTTTGAGGTAGCAGTTGCAGATCCCAGAGCTCGACCCAGACCTTGCCCTTACCCGTGTACAGTACCGATGATCTGTGTGTGCTTGAACCCACGAACTGTGTTTTGAAAGCCGCCTGTTTGTTTGCTGTGGGAAGGGTGGTCGTCGGGTCTTGAACCATGGTTCTGTAGGTTAGAGGTCTTAGCAGTCCTAGGACTCGTAGCTGCTACAGTGTTGAAAGGTCAAGTCGTAGCTGCTACAGTACTGAATGGTCAAGCCGCAGTCTTCTGGAGGTTCCGGAAGTGGCCCTTCGTGAGTCATAGTAGTCAGTCCGTAGTCAAGTGGTCAAGTGGGCAGTCTTACCTTGCTTAGTCAGCGGTACCCAGTCCCAGTCGCACCCTGTCAAGTCAGCAAGTACCATGTGGGACTGTGTGCACTTCGGCTGGGTGGAGAGAGGCAGACCCGACAGTCCAAATAAAGAGGCAGCGATCATTCATGCATTCATTCTGCCTGTGAGCCGTGCAGAAGCGCTGTCGAAGTGTCTTGTGTGCGGAGGTCTGCAGGTGCCCGTTGACGAAGAGGGCTGAGAGGAGGAAGATCGGCCATAGCCGATACCGAGTTAGTGAAGACGGCGGCCATAGCCGCCATGTCAGCAGTTAGTAGTGTTAGTGTGTGTGAAGAGAGGGAGAGTGTGAGTGTGTGTGTTCGTGTGAGGTGTGTGTGTGTGTGTTTGTGTGGGGGACATCCAGGGAGATACAGGGTCTGTCTACAAACAAGTTGCTGTGAGTACAGGGGTTGGCAATAGCCGACCAAGACAAGTTTGAATCTGGGCTGCGTTCTTGGCTTCATTATTTTTGAGCTTTGTGTGGGCGCAAGGCGCCAGCTTGATCGTCATCTGGCTGATCGTCATCTGCCTGCGCCCCGTTGTTTCCCGCCAGCGCTACTATCGATCACGCTACGCTGCCTGCACGCGCTCCGCTATTGATTGCGCATATCCGCTAGCTGCTGCGCGCGTGTTCGCTGTTGCTGCGCGCCGTGCGATTGTTACCCGCTACTGTGCGCTGCCATAGACGTTGCCCGTGCGCGCGCAGAGAGCTGAACCGCGCGCTGTGAAGGAGGGCACCGCCGGGCCACTGGTAGGACAGGGGCCACTGCCCCGTACGCCGGGGACGAAGAAGAAGCCGCGCACCGTTGAAGAGGAAGCTGCCCTTGCCGAGGCAGAAGAGCAGCGGGAAAGAACGAAAAAACGACGAACGACGAAGTAAGAGAGAGAGAGAGAGAGAGAGAGAGAGAGAGAGAGAGAGTGATACAAGATTGGTTGTCCCGCCGTGAAGAGGAAAGTGGCGGCTCGGACCTTGCGACGAAGAAGAAACTTGAAGTGACGAAGAAGAGAGAAAGGAGGAAGCAAGGAGGAAGGAGAGACGAGCAAGGAAGAAGAAGCCATAGCCGAGGAGGGGCGAGAAGAAGACAAGGGAGGAGAAGAGAGAGAAGAGGTTGGCGAAGGAGGACGTTGGCAGCCATAGCCTGAAGGTCAACGTTTGACCAAGATTGAAGTTTGACTGACGTCGGGGAGTTTGACCAAGGTGGTGACCCGGTTTGACAGGCGTTGACCGGAGCTGTTCACCAGGAATTTGACCAAGTTGGAGTTGGTATAATCTCGCCGAGCCTTCAGCCTATCCCCTCACCCTATGGATGTGCACTTACCGCTTGGCACTTGCTAAGTTAGTATGTCTCTTCTTTTTGCATTGAGTCACTTCCTACCACGTCGATAGGATTTCGTGCATGTGGTCGATAGGATTTCGTGCATGTGGTCGTAGAGCTGTGTTGACCAAACCTACACGGCCTGAGTAGGGCTTAAGTCCATGTCTGATGACTGACACGTCTCGGAGGCCTAACTTTAACGAGCGCGAGGCTGAGGGAGAGCCGAGGGAGAGGAGAGAGAGAGGGAGAGAGTGAGAGCACACACACACACTCACTCACTCGACACGACTGAGGGCCGGACGCAGACACAGTGGCAAGGGCACAAAGTCGAAGTCTTGGATTCCCGAATGCCGAAAACAGCTAGTCACACTGAATACGGGTACAGCAGCTGGAAACTGGTACGAGACCGGTGCCCGTACCGTACGGGAAGCCGGTATAAGTACCGGTGGCACGTACGGTACCGGGGGCATTTCTGCAAAGGCCCCGAGGGCAGAACTGAAAAATGCAGCATTTGAAAGTGGCGCCCGAATTGCAGCATGGCGCCAGGTGTCCAAAATCCTATGGTACCAAAGGAGGGGTTTGGAAAAAGGGTGCCAGGTGGAAAACGGGATGCAGCCGAAACAACAAAAAGATAGACCAGGGATCGAGCCCTGGCGGAGTCAGTAACACTATCCCCTCCCTCTAGAAGGCAATGTCCCGGCTGCCAAAAATCATGAAGCAATGCTGAAATCTGTGAAGGATGGGACGGGGCCAATCACTGGTTAACAAGTCGAAAGGGGAGAGGGGTATAATGTGGGTGGCATGGGCTGCGGGAGTAAGAGGGAACAGGGTTTGGTACTGGTGAACAGGGTTGTCCAACTGATGAACTAGGGGGGGTTGCAGGGAACAGGGTAGTCCTACAAATGAACTAAAGGGACGGCAGGGAGGGTAGTCCTAATGATGAACTAAGGGGACTACATGGTTTGCTATAGGTTAAGGGGGAACATAGTTCAGGGAACAGGGAACTTCTATTGATGTTCTACTGGGTAAGGGAAACGGTGTTCAGGAAAACAGGGTATTTCTATTGATGTTCTAGTGGGTAAGGGAAACAATGGTCAGGGGAACAGGGGATGTCTATTGATGTTCTAGTGGGTATGGGGAACAATGGTCATGGAAACAGGGATCTGCTAATGATGTTCTACAGGGTTGTCAAAGTCAGGAAAAATAAAAATGAAAATGTTTGTTCAGGATGCAAGGGCTGGTGTGTCCGAAGGAGTCGGAAGCAGAATCTCATGTAGGAACGAAGTGTCCAAGTGTCTTGAAAGGGGGTCTGCAGCGGTCTTGATCAGGTCTTTGGAGTAGGTGGCAGAAGTGGTCTTCAGCGGCTGCGATAGGTAGAAGTCCAAGAAGCGTAGTAGTAGTTCAAGTGTCAAAGTCCAATTGCTAGGGTGCGTCCGGTACACGAACTGCAATGAGG